GTGCGGCGCCGCGCCGCCCCCGAACTCGGGCGCCCTCTTGCAGCAGATCCTGGGCCTCCGCTTGACCCCACGCGTGGGCAACGCCACCGGCACCACCTGCCCCGCCGCGCTCTGCCACTTCTCAGGTAGAAGCCGGGCCTCCTCGGGGGAAGAGCTGGGGACAGGGTTGGGGGGCCTCGAGGGCTTTGGGACTACGGCCCCCACAATCCCCTGCCGTGGGATTGAAGGGATGGGAGCTGAAGTCCGAAGCTCTGGAGGCCTTCTGCACACGCTCGGCCCACCTCCCAACCCTCTCTCCGGTAGCCGCTGAAGAGGGAAGGCCGAGGCCGTCGCCGCGGTCTCTCGCCGAGGGAGCTCCCGACGGGTGGGACGAACCGGCCCGTCCCATCGCGGGGAGCCGTGGCGTTGGAGGCTTCGGGCGGCGGAAGGCGTCGCATCGGGTGGGGAGCAGGGTCCCCAGGCACAGCCTTAAAATCGAACATTGTCCAGCTTTCTGAGTGCCTTGTTTTGTCTTTTGGACTGTTTTGGCAACAGTTGTCGTTCAAACTCTAGTGTACTGTGACCTCGTAACTTGTCTGCTTGAAAATATTATTACAGTACTAGATTTTATCCCGCATTTTTATCTTTCTTCCCTCCCTCCCTCCCTCCCTCCCTCCCTCTCTCTCTCTCTCTCTCTCTCTCTATCTCGCCAACCTACCTAATAGTCCTTCCTCCTCCTGTTTGCCCCACAACAACCCTGTGAGGCGGGTTGGGCTGAGAGAGGGGGACTGGCTCAAACTCACCCAGCTGGCTTTCAGGCCTAAGGGGAGCCTGGACCTCAGAGTCTCCTGGCTTCTAGGCCAGCACCTTAACCAGTGTTTCCCAACCTTGGCTACTTTAAGAAGTGTGGACTTCAACTTCCAGAATTCCCCAGCCAACTTTTAAGTTGTGTGGACTTCAGTTCCCAGAATTCCCCAGCTAGCATGCTGAGAGTTGAAATCCACAATCTTAAAGTTGCCAAGGTTGGAAAACACTGTCTTAACCACTACAGGTAGTCCTCAATTAATGACCATTTGTTCAGTGACCATTTGATGTTAGAGTGGCACTGAACAAATCATACTTATGCCCGGTCCTTGAAGTTATGGATGTTGCAGTGCCCCTGTGGTCCGTGATCAAAATTCAGATGCTTGGCAACCCACCCGCGTTTGCAACTGCAGGGTGCACTTCAACTTCCCCCCCATCTCTGCCCTTTTGGCTGCCTTGCATTCTGCCACCCCATCACCCCCAGCTGACCCTTACCATCTTCTTCCTCTTGCTGCTGACAAGGTGTGCCTGGCCCTTCCTGAGGCTGCTGCTGGCAGTGCAACCTTCCTGAAGCTTGTGTACCTTTCTGCCCCTGGCATTAGCCACCCCCGGCCCCACTGCCCTCAGGCTGGGCCACAGCAGCCACTTACCGGCCTGCTTGCAAGCCACCCAGGACTTGCGACTTCCTGCCGGCTTCCCCATGGACTTTGCTTGTGGGAAGCCAGCAGAAAGTTGCAAGGAGGTCTTCACTTAATAACCCATGATCCTCGCTTAACAACAGCATCAGGGACTGCTGAGATTGCCATCCCTAAGCGGCGTGGTCACATGACATTGCGCTTTACAACCACGTTGCTTAGTGATGGAAATTCCGGTCCCAATTACCATTGTTAACCAAGGACTACCTGTAAACCAAACTGGCTCTCTAAAGATGAGATACCAGGAAAGATGTAGGAGCATGATTTGGGCCCTCAGCTGGAGAATGAGGAGGTTATGGAGAACGATGTCTGGTATCCGCTGGTTGCTTCTGCCACAGTAAATAAGGTGCTGAAGGTTCTTCATGGCTTGTAATAAATAAAGTTCTACTCTGCACACTTTCAGGTCAGCCTTTTGTCCTTAGAAAAACAACAGTTTTGGTGTACACTTTCAGCTGATATAGAAGCATGTGCTTCATTGGCCTGTATATCACTTGTGTTATTTTACCATATTTAACAGCAACTGCTTCCTCTTGCTATATACAGCAATACATAACAGTATAACTCTGATTTGGGGAGAAACTAGATCCAAGCGCATTAAGACCCATCTTAGTATCAGCAAAAAAGTTATTTGTGTGTGTTTCCCAGCTCTAGTAAATATTGCAAAGATCCCTTAATATAAAAGAAAGAATTCAGACAAAAGGGAGTAATAATACTCCATTTTATAATAGTTCTGTAACCTAGGAATGAGAGAAGTGGTGAAGTGCCTTGCAGCACCAACACTGACTTCATTTCTGTGTATTTATTGCTTTCTTTGAACGTCGTCCTTGCATTCAAGCTGAGTTTTTCTAGGACTCTATGTAATAGAGCTTCTATTAAGGTCACAGCTCTTAATAAAAGTACAGTTCTCCACATATTTTCCTAGGAATATGACCCTAGGAAGTATTCCTTAGTTTCGGTAGACTTGCATTAAATGAAATTGTGGCAGTGAGCTACAAACTTACAATCACATTTTAACCTAGTGGTATTTGTTTACAAACTAGTGTTTTCCTTTCTTAATAATAAAGATAGCTATGAAGATAAACCACATTGTAGAGTTAGGGTGATTCGTTATTAATTTCACAAAAAAATTAAGTGGTTTAGTATTTTTTTTTAAATAATTGTAGACTTTCAGTGTGTAATTGAGGATAACACTGTTAGCTTTCACAAGGTTAAATATGATGTATGATCTCTCCTATGCTCTTGTACCAACTCTAGTAAGGAAATGACTTTGGCATTAAGTATTATTTTGTTCCTGGGATTAATAAGCATTTTGGGAGACTGCAGTGTGTGGGGGAAGGCTATCTATAGGAAATGAGTTAAAGAATTCTACCCCTCCTTACCTGTCGTTTTAAGAGGGAGGGCAGGGCATGCCTATAGGTATTACAAGAAGAGGAGGAATTTCTCTTTCCATACGACATCTGGAAAACTGCATCTGATTGCTGTGGAGTGTCCTCTAGAGCAGCTCTCCTACAGCTGGTACACCATCCCACCTTCTGGAATTCCCAGCTGTCTGGAAGCTGTCAGCTTAAAACTGTTGGAGAGCTCCAGCTTGGAAAGGCTGCTGTACTAATTGTGTTGCCAATTTGGAGAAATGGCTTGATCTTGGCTACGGGGAGGACAATCTCTATAGGGTTATTGGTGGAAGCCATTCAAAGGTGGTCCTTCTGAGCTCTTCTTCCCTCCTCTCCTACTGCAGAGATGTGGTATGGCGTCTTCCTGTGGGCCCTGGTGTCGTCTCTCACCTTCCACATCCCTGCAGGACTGCTGGCTCTTTTCACCCTCCGGAGGCACAGATATGGCAGGTTCATGCCAGTGAGCATCTTCCTGATGGGGCTAGTCGGGCCGTTAGCTGCCGGGACCTTAACAAGTAGGTTGGCTTTTGCAGAATTCGTTGGATGGAGTATGGGTCCCAGCAGGGGCAAGGTCCAATGACACTAAACCTGGAGTCTTCCAGATGTGCTGAGGGTACAGATGTACTCCAGCAACTGAGGGCAGGTTGGGGAAGCTGGATTAGTTGTTCGTGGTTGGAAAGGGCAGGTGGCCACAAGTGTAGGGGTCCCTAATCATATGCGTATTTGTTTATTGAAAACTTTTATATGGCTGCCCAACTCAGACAATGTGACTCTGAGTGCAAAAAAAAAAAAAAAGAAAATCAACAGATAAAACAAAAATCCACATACCATTAACCCTGTTAAGACAATAAAATGGCTGAATTATGTTTCAGACTGAAAAATCCTATCAATACTCATCCTGACCCAAAGGCCCAGGGAAAGCCTGCATTGTCTTTCTGTGAAAGAAGGGGCAGAGAAACAGTAGGGAAGACAGGCATTTTCCTGTGCTGGAATCTTCTCTCAAAGGCTATTTCTTCCCAGCAGTTACCCTACTCCCATTACATCCCACTTCTGCTGATCCTTTTGACCCAGTGTTTCTCATCCATGGCTACTTTAAGATGTGTGGACTTCAGTTCCCAGAATTCTGGGAGTTGAAGTCCATGCATCTTAAAGTGGCCAAGGATGAGAAACACTGTTTTGACCAATAGAAGTCTCGGAAGACTGGCCTTCCTGCCTCAATCAGAGTCACCAGGAACCTTAAGCCTATCCTTCTCTTAATCCAACTTGCCTTGGGAGGCAGTTGTGAGGATGAAAAACATGAGAGAGGGTCTTGGAGAAAGCAAAGTTAAAGAGCTCATCTGGGTGGGTTCCTGGTCTGTTCCAGTGAGAGGGCTTTGTATTTTTGACAAACAGCTCCCTGCCACATTATTGAATCCTGGCCTTTATTTTTATTTATTGGCTATCAAGCAGACCACTGGAGCTAATTTCAGATGCTCCCAGCAAGCAGACAGTTAGATCTTGGTCAGGAGTAATTTGCCCCGTTTGCTTCACTGAAGAACCAAAAAAAGAAGGAGAGAGGGAAAAAAGGAAGTATCAGAAAGAGAAACAACGGGGATCAGGATGAGTAAGAGGATGGGTAGCTATCCCACCTGACTGGTCCACCCCACTATTTGGGATCCCACACAAATGTGACCTTAAAAAGTACTTACCCCTGTTATACCTGGGAACAGCGAGAAATCCCCCAAAGGTACGTGAGAGCCCTGTGAAAGTGTTATTTCCCCCTCTTGCTATACAGGTGCTGCAATTGCTGGGGTCTACCGAGCTGCTGGGAAGGAGATGATCCCCTTTGAGGCCCTGACTTTGGGAGTGGGACAAACCTTCTGTGTGGTGATGATTTCCTTCTTACGGATTTTGGCTACTCTGTAGCCCCTCCTTGGTCCTGGAAGGCCACCGGAGGAGCATCACCTGGGAATCATGGACTAGGAGATTCAAAAGGGCAAGAATCGCCACGAAGAAGTTCTGTGCAAGACCCCCCGAGAGAAAGAAAGCGTCACAACAGCTTCACTCAACTGTGGCTTCAGTTCTTTCACAAAGACTTGTTCGGAAGAAACCTTGCCCTGGATTGAGGCAATTGGTCTCCCTGAAGCACCCCTCTCATCTAAGGCCAGACAGCCAAAAATAGTCAAGGAGCTGTGGGTCCCTCTGTGCGTCATCATCCCAGCGCAAACTTGGCTGCTTTCAAGCTGCACGTTGTCTGCATTCTGATGCAGCTGGAGGGATTCTCCTCGGGCTAAGAATAAGAAGGGGGTGACTGGCAGAAAAGCAGAGACCACGCACTGTGGAAACGTTCACACTCGCTGCTGTTGGTGAACGAGCGTTCAGGCTCTGGGGCTGAAACGGAAACCAATTCTGTGTTTATAATTTGTGACATTTTTGTACCTGAAGTGCCAACCTGAGCGTCTCTGTTACTTTTTAAGTACGCTTATCTGGTTTTAGGTTGGGGGAATGATGCGGGTTTGACTCCAGGGAAGCAGTGGGTTGGGGAGACGGTTCTGTGTTACTTGAAGCCACCCTGCCGTGGTTCCGCTGAGGCAACTTTGCTCCTGAATGGGGTTCCTGCCGGAGAGCTTCACCAGGATGGTCTTGAAGCCTTTCCTAGGGAAGAATGGGCACAGGAGGCAGCCTCGACCCGCCCCTCCGATGGGAAGCATTCTGCCTCCCTGTTAGTGCTGAGACAAAGAAGGAAAATTCTCTATTGCTACCTCAAGGGCGCAGGATGGGTTTGAAACGTAATTCTGCTGGCAGGTGGTCACCACAGGGGACAGAGGAGCGGAGGCGAGTCCAGGAAATGCATTTCTGAAATCTGGGGTGCTGTCTTTTAATTTATGTCCTGTAGATGCGTTTTGAAATGTACATGAAGAGTGTCATCATTATTGCTGGGTGTGTTTGAAAAAAGGAAGAAACGGACTGCAGTTTTGGGTGCGCTTGTACAGGAGCCCTCTGCTTCCTGCAGGCAAAGGCTCAGACTGCACGGGGAAGCCAACAAGTGCCTGGGCCACGTTGCCCTTCCTCCTGGGATCAGTCTTGCAACCCATCAGTGCCCTTTCCCAGGGGCAGCCATGTGCTGCTGCCAGAGATCCCGGGAGCTCACCAGTCTGCCTTGTGGAGGCAGATCCCAACGCATTTCCCCTGAGGGCATGACAGGATTCATTTGCCGGGAGGAAGGGAGGGCATTTGGGGTAGAGCTGTTTGGTCTCAGAATACGGATGGGATGTGCTTGTTTAGACCCCCTCATTTGTCAGAAATATGAACCCGCCCTCTCTATCCAGGAACGTTCATGGCTCCCTACCCCCCACCCCCACCCCAATTCTTGTGAAGCTTCCTGGATGTTTTTAAAAATGATTATTTGGGTGGGTTCTGAAACCCATTTTCCTCTGGGCTTGACTGACCCATTTTTAAAGAATAAATCCTCTGTATCACAGGTGGGTCACCTGCAGGCCCCCCCCCTCCTTTTTGTCACTGCGAAGCATTCTTCCAGCTGCAGTTGTCAAAAGTGAGGGGTGCGTGCTTTTTACCACTTTACGACACGACACATGCCAAAAATGTAGTGTGCATCTTAAAATGGGCTTAACACAGTTGAAAAACACCCCCCCCCGGAACCTTGCCTCTGCTCACAGGTGATAGGGCTCTTCCTGTTCTGCCGTATTCCCACTCACTGTGCCCTCCCCCCTCTTTTAAGTGCATCTTACAGCTCACAAAAGGTTGCCCATCAATATGTTTTAAATGGTGTGATTGCTCTCGTTTTTAATGTATTAATCATGATTAACTGGCCAGATTCTCAAAGCACATCATGATCATTCAAACCCTTGAACTGTAGCTTTCTTATGCCTATGAGCTGGTTGACTCTGGTAGCTCTAATTTGATTGTTACCTCCCTTGCACTGGCAAATGTGACTCAAATCATTGTTCTCTTATTTTAAACTTTCACTTTAGTTTTGCCCCGCCTTTCTAATTTCCTTCTTGAGACAGAAGCTTGAGGAGGTAAAAATGTCCTTTCTTCTTCCTCTGTCTCCTGAACTCCTTCGATTGTTTGCACTCAGCAGTTGGAATGCCGGCTTTAGTGAGCATGAAGGACATGGCCTTTTGGCTAAGGATAAACCAAGTCAGGAAGAATGAGATCTGCAATCTCATTATTACGCAGCAGCAGGGAGCTTGGTGAAACTTGAAAAGGCAAGAGTGAAACCCCACTCTTCCTAATCCAAATGTAGTAGCAGGACTGGATGTTCTGTTACTGCTTTACCAGACACTGTCCCTTGCGACATAAACACCTTGAATTACAATGGAAGCTGAAGGAGGGTCACGCCAAATAATGCAGTGGCGGGGCGGGTTGTTAGGAGCTCCCACAAACTCGGGTTTAAGGAGGGGGCTGACGGACTCCTCTCTCTCTGCAGCAATTTCCTTTGAAAACCTGCAACAGTGAGCCTGTCGTCTTGTCAACAAATGCCCATCACGTGTGCATGCCACTGACCGCTGCAGCATATGCAAACCAATCTTTGTATGGAGGGAGAATAAATCTCCTAATACTGGTTTTTATTTTTCTACTGACATTTCTGATTCTAGCATTGATATTTTAGCTAATAAAATCCCGGCTAAGTCTTGTGAACAAGGAGTGGTTTGTATTTTGTAACGTCGGTGGATTCTGGGTAGGGGTTGATTTGGAAGAGCATCGCTTCCTCCGAGATGGCTTTTCATTTTCAGCCGCAGATGTGCGCCGGGAATGGCTCTTCCGATATTGCTAGTGAGTCCCACTAAAATGCATGCTTGTTCTTGGTGTAGCAAGTTGCTCCCAGAAAACTGCCCATGAAACACTTAATTGCCAAATACATCCAGTCACTTAATTTGGAGGAAGAACTTGGAAACTAGACAGTCCAGAATTTTATTGGGAAAAATGGCCCCGTCTCTCACCTGTTCTGAGTTCTATTGGAACCCCACTGCTCAATTTTTATGTGCTGATGTGTAATGCTCTTACAGGTGTGATGTTTCTATTATTCCATCAGTTTTCACTTTGAAGAAGCTGAGAAGTTCCCCAAATTGTTCTCATTTCACAGGATCATTCCATTTTTCTCTTTAATCCTAGCCCCTAATCCCACCAAATTCACTGAATTCTTTGTTTTGAAATATGGAGCCCTGACAAGGATCAGCCTTTATTCCTGCCTGGACGACCGGCTTCTTCATAAAACGAAACAAAGTCTTAATCTTTGACTGTAATAAAGGCAATGGAAGATATACGCTACAGAAGTCAATGGCACCCTAAAGATGTAGCAAAAAACGTAGTTTTGATGCAGCAAAGAATCTGGCGATGCTTTAAAGATGAGCACAACAAATAAGCGGATCAGTCTTCGAAATAAGGTTTTTTTGCAAGTGAAGAAAAATGTTTTGTAAAGGGGAAAAATGCCCGCAGATTTTCCAGTGAAAGTTGGCTTGCTTGGCCACGGCAAACATCTACAGTATTGGTCAGGACTTGTACCGTCACTAACACAACTTATTAAAAAAAGGGGGGGGTTTACAAAGATATGGTTGGAAGATAAACAGATAGATGTACAATGTACTTAATGAATACTTGGAAAAATAATTGCACATTTTTAAAGCCAAGTTCTGATAACTCGAGTTTCCAAGGTCGTCTGCTGCCTTTGTGGATATTTTTTTCAGCTTAACTTGAAGTTCAGCCAAGATCAGCGAGTGCTGCCAATGTTGGAGGTTTGGTTCAAGTTCAAGACTTTCTCCCACACTACATGGTGGACTCTGCTTACGGCCTTCGCCGGCATGTCTGCGATGACACACGCTGTCACTCTGGTGGTTGGGGAAATACGGGGATGGTGATATATTAAAAAATGAATCAATTTTAAACAGTGCCTCTTTTTTTTCATTGTTGGGTTCATACGGGCTTGGGGTTATTTATACCGTAAATGTAAAGGGGGTTAGCTGCCATTTTTAATCCCTAGCAAATCCTAGGGAATTGTAGTTCTGAACCACAAACTTGGATTGAAAGCCAAGCCTAATGACTAGGGATCCAGGTCATTAACCTGACTTAATTTCGTAAGGTCAGTAAAATTACGTCAGTGAAATATGCTAGTATGACATATTTCCTCTCCCCTCCTTAGAAGTTGCACTATTCATATGAGCCCCTAGAGTTTTCCTATCATTTGCAGAAATGATCACGGAATATAACCTGGAATATTGGATGGGCAGTGCGAAGGCTACATTGGGATGGGGCTATGTCTTTGAAGAGCGCATTGTCTTTCATTCCCCTGACTTTCTTTTCCATCGTGCTGCTATGTTTTTAAATTTCCACCCCATTGTTTTTTTTAAACTAACGCCTCTTACAGCCTGGGCTGCTTCTGGAGAGTCCCCATCTTCGTGTTGCTTGATCTCCTGGACAACGCGAATGCAACGGAAAAGAAAAAAGAAAAGATGCACACTGCACCTTGAAGATAAGCCCCATATTCTACTGCGTCATAATTAGTGATCCGCAGGAATATGTCTCTAAGTGAGACTGTAATAATATTTTTGCATTTGGTTGTTTCTCTCATTTATAAATTATAAATATCAGGGTCATGAAACTGGACACGTGAAATGCTAGGTGAGTTCCAAAAATGATGCACATGCGCGCACACACACACACCCCGATGGAGCTTTGATTGTGCACGGCAGCCTCCATCTTGACTTTTTGGAAACAGCCACCCCAGTACCAAGCATGCTTTCTGTGATTTCTATATATTTCCTTTTCCTGAATCATAAGGTGCAAAATAGCAGAAAAGACCAGTCTGGTCTACCTAGGGACGCTTTTCTGAGCAGTCAAGGCCCTTTTTACAAACCAGCTGAGACTTTCATCACGTAACTGTTTCCAAATACATGCTTCAACGCTCTCCCCACAGCACTTCTGGAGGGCCGATACCAAGAAGCCCCCTATGAGCTGAGACTCTCCCCCTGTAGACAAGGGGCTGTTGAAACTGCACCTCACATCCTGCTATGCTGTACCCACTCTAAGGATTCACGGAGCCGCCTTATAACTCCTTACCTGGTAACACACTTGGGAAATCAGTATGATTCGGTCTTCTTGAATGTAGCTTAATGTTGCTATACTGCCTGTAAAATTAGGCAGACTTTGATTATCCACTGACGAATCCACCACCAATAGTAATATTTTATTTTATTTTTACTTTATTTTTATGTTCAATGTGTTTTTGTTTGCAATTCCAGTCAGGGACTGTAATAATAAAAATTCTATTCTATTCTAGTAGAAAAGAAATAAGCAATTATGCAACAGTCCAAACTGGTCTCCCCTTAGGTGCACAAGTATTTCTCTGAGAAGTGGGTAAAGTAAGTTATGATCAGAATCAGTGGTCAAACCCGGCACAAACATTCAGCACCGGTGTCATGTCCTTAGGAAGACTATGGCACAGGTTCTCAGCCTTTTGTATTTGAAATACCACCAACTGCTTTATCAAAGAAATTGGGTCCTGCCACAGAAACTCCCACTTTTCCAAGAAAAACATTTAAAAGTTTACAGAAGTTCTGTTAGTATGGTTATTAGGGATGTGAAATGTTTTGGATCTGATTCCAAAGGATGCTTTGGAGCACATAGAAGTGCAAATGTAGCATCTCTCTGCTACTCTAAAACAATCTAGTCTGGGAAAAGTCAGGCATATAAAAAAACCCCCAAAGAATTCTAACACTTTGGTGTTTCTTATACATTGTTAACCATGTTGCACCTAAGACTAAATTAAACTTTTAATCTCAAAGATACTTAGAAGTATAGAAACAAAAAGATTTAAAGAACGAAATTAAGAGGAAAAGAGAGGTGACAAGTCAATAATTCATAATTAAAGACTGAAACCTGCATTATTTAGGCTATTAATTGGCTGCTGTTCAGATCTGTTCTTTGTAATCATGTGTTAACATGCTGTTTATTAATAATGCATTTTATGCAGCTGGAAGAATTATGTTATCTATAAATATACAAAGCAGCGAGCTTTCCAAGGGACTAGCAACATTAAAAAGCAGTATTTCAAGATATCAACTTGCACTGCAATGTGAAAACATTTTAGAAAAAAGAAGCATCAAAGATCAGGCCTCTCTTGAAGTTATACCATTGTGGTGGAAATCTCTCCGCTCCTCATAGGGTGGAGGCCAACCTGTGATTAACTAATAGCAAGGCAGCTCTGCATACATCAAAAACATTTTCATGCTTGTATTTTTGGGCTGAGCAACATGCGCCTGGCAGAAATTTACCATGAGGAAAGGGAGCATATTAATCAGTTTTCATTAATATGACCAACTTCTCTTCAAAAGCAAACTGAAAATAATTTAATAAACAAAACAGTAGAAAAAGTTGCACTTAAGGACTCCTAAAACTCCAAAAACAAAACTGAAAAGCTGCTACTTGCTAGAATACACGGCATAGATCAAACCACTTCAGAACACACGTGGTCTGTCTTCACACTTTTTCAAAAGGTGAGTCTGTAGGGAATGAAAAGGGCCTCTCTAGTTCCAAAGCAAAGTTTCAACCAACAACCGCCCTCTGTCCTGTCTCCTATCATGCCTTTGGTATCAGTGAAATATCAAGTTCAGCCTTTCATGAAAGGGGTTAAAGCCTTTGTGTGGGAGGTGGCGGCCCTTCAGGTGACTTGTTCGTAACAAATGGAACCATCTCTAGTTTGATAGCTGTCCCCAGGATGAACCAAAGCTTGCAGATTCCAAAGTAATTTTGCACAGAGCAAATACAAACATGGTTTGCCATTATCTGATATTTCAGCTTCCCAATCTAGCCTACAAACCCGAGATTTCCTAAGTGGTCTCCCACTGAATTAGTAAGCCTCTCTTGGCCCATCTTCACCTTGGCAGGTCACAGTGTACAGACCTGTGAGGTTAGAACACAATATGGGTTTGATGATAGACTCTGCAAATGAGGAATAACTTTACCTCATTCTTTTGTTGACCTGGAGCCAGTCTCTTTCACCCTGTTCCATCTGGAATGTGGCTTCCTGACCCACGTATAGGTTTTGTGTGAGGACAATGAGATGCTCTGGGATTCCCATTTTTCTAAGGATCTTCCACATTTATCATGGTCAACACAATGGAAGGCCTTTCTATGAAGCACATACTGGTTTCTTTTTGGTATTTGTTGGCTTTCTCAATTATTCAGTGTGCATCAGAAATAATCTCTTCTGTTTCCTGGTCTTTTCTAAATCCAGCTTGAATATCTGGCATCGCCCTTCCCATGTGGGGCTCTATCTAAACATTATTTTGCTAGCATGTGAAATGAAGGATACTGTGCAATAATTTGCACCCTCTGTTAACTCTCTTTTCTTTGGTATGTAGACTGACCTTTTCCAATCTGTTGGCCATAATCAATCAATCAATCAGCCAGCCAGCCAGCCAGCCAGCCAGCCAGCCAGCCAGCCAGCCA